TGATATTACCCTCACAAGCATGTGTTATTATTTAAATATTACATGGTCATATCACATAGGTAACATAACAGTGGTGCTGCCCCGATCACAGTCGTTTCAATGATTCTGAGGAATTTTAGCCATTTAGTCAGGTTACAAAACAATTTTTTTAGATACTCTTGCAATGCGGTTCATACAAAATTTGTTTGCTGTTTCTATACTTCTGAGGTGTGCACTATAAGAATCTGGATTTTGCCACTCTGTCAACCTCGGGCATTTTCGCACAATATGCAAATTAGGCGGCCATTATGAAAAATTTTGTTTCGTCAATATCTTATTAACTACACATGGTATCAACATAATTTGGGTGTCTTGAAGGGTAAAAAATAGGATTTAACCGACCACTTAAGTAAAGTTTTCACAAATATTTTGTGCTGAATGGGCATACAATATTCAAATTAGGGTGGTCATTATGGAAAATAATGTTTGTATCAGTATCCCGTTTACTACACATAGAAACAAAAAAAAATTGGTTTCTATCTCCGTGTTTCTAGAGGAATAAGCCATTTCTGTAACAATCACAATGTTTTACTGACAAATATGCAAAAATCTTTAGTGTACATCAGAGTCATAATATAACATCTCCTGTGATTATGAATATTTATTGACTCAGTCCTCTAACAAGTCGCTTTCACCCGTCACCCATCCAGCGTGCTCATTCTGGCAGCGTTCTTCCCCGTGACATCCACAAAACATTGCACATGGCAAGTGAGCTGCATAGCACAGCCACACCTTATTATTTCCAGCACTTCCAGTGGAGCAACACTAACATTTGTTTGCAATGTTACTGGGATCAAGCATCTAACGCGTTTGTCACATTCACATGCAAACTCGACAAGATCTAATACTGGAGGTTCTGAGTTGAGAGCTGATTTCCAAATGGCGGTCTGAATGTGTACCCACTTTACGTTCTCTTTGAATGCCTCTTTAGAAGGCGGGAGTGCCTTAAGCTGTGACGCCTTTGTCACATTTTCCCAAAACAAAATATCTGTGTTCTCACATACAGCATCTATTATTTGCACTCCACTTTCAGCAGCCTTAACCATTTAATGTATGATTATAACATCCGCTTTTTTGTGTCAAGTCCAGAGATCTTCTCTACAGACAATGCCATCCTGAATTACAAGTGGTATAAGGTCAGTAGATGACCAGATGTTCTTGTTGGCCACCCTTTTCATCACATTCCTCATGAAGCCGCTGATAAAATTTGACACATTAGGCCAGTTCATAACACGAAAGAGAGCTCTGATTTCGCAACCAATCGCTGTGATACAGTCACCTGTCGCTTATTCTTCAGTGTGGATTTTGTAGTTGCGATTCTTATATTTCTTTCATCATCAAACAGTGACGGGTTACGAGAACAGTTGTGATATTAATGTCTCGAGACTGTTGCAATCCTAGCACCCGATAGTAGATTAGAT